GAAGATTTGATTCATCCATGCCTTCCATGGCATTGCATGCAACTCTTAGAAGTAGTAATAATACATATAATCAATTAAGAAGAGAAAGAGACTCTTCCACAATTATCACTATCATTGACAAAATGCTCCTCCATTCGACTTTTCCAACCAAAGAGAATTGCATCTGCCACAACCATGAACTTCTGCACGTATTGAACAAAAAGGAAAAACCATATTATTTGTAGCATCAAACCATACAGCAACCACAATAACAACATCCAAGCCTTAATCCCAAAAGCCTTAATCCCAAAAGAGTATGGGATTTACTCTGCCTGAATCATTATAGCACTTGATGCAACATTGCAACCTAGGAGTAGCATAAAACAAAACAGACAAGCCACACGCTCAGCAAAAGCTGAGTGGCACGCAAATCACATATGCAGTATTTACTTATCATTGCATTTAAACCAAACATAACAAATGATTTCACAAAAGCATACCAAAGAATTTGACATGTTATTACCTACACATTTTTACAATCATATAATTCATGATGTGATTTATGACATAACGAAACATCACTTAACAGGACAAGACATGAATGAGCATAACAGAACATACCATAATACTACAATTATCAATTATGTTTTGTTTTAATACAGAATATATAACAGAAAATGAAATAAGATTTAGTTAAATTTAAATTTCAAAGCACTTATATAATACTACATAAATTAAGGAAACGTACTACCTATAGAGCGTAAGTTTAATTCTTCCCCTCATTTAATTTTCACCTATTTCTTTCTCTATTTTCCTTCTAAAGTTTCTTTCCGTGGGGGAGAATCATATCAAAGAAAAGTTTATTTCTTGTGTTTACCTTAAAAAATGCTAAGGATAATATTGTATATCATAATTGATGTTTTTTCTAAATTTGTACATATGTTTATATTTCTTGTTAAATATTTACAATAGAAATAACAAATTAAAAGTGTGCTAGAGCAAAATAAGGAATAACTTTATTAACACTGGCTATCTTCTATTTCTCTACCAATTTTCCTTGAGTAAACCGGGTGTATAAACACATTTATTACTGTTCGGGTTACTGCATTAATTAAATAAATAAAAGAAGGGAATCACATGTTATAAACAACTTTTAATATGTCTTTTTAATTAAATAAATTAAATTGAAAAATTAAACATTTAACCTACCTCTATGTACTGCCTTGATAACTCTTTCCTTCTTTCCCTTGTCCGCACATACCCTGGTTTCTTTTCCATTTTTCTTCTCAAGCCTCAATCTTTCATCTCATCCTCTTCTTTCTTCCTTTATATTCTTTCATTTTTTTTCTTCAGTTAGTCAACTAATCTTCTTGTACTTCCCACCCCACTACGGGGAGCCATGGAGTCCGAAATCCATGGGGGCCACCATCACATTAAGCCCATCAGTCCATCACCACCCTTCATCAACTCAATCATTTCATCACATTCCCCTTCCATCATCCAATTATGGATATGTACATGTAAGTTGCATATCTTCTTGTTTTTATCATCAATCACTTAGAAAATTTTCCTTTGCAACAACTTTTCTGGCTCAATGTCTTCAAATTCATACCCTTTTTATTGACTTTTTTCGTTTAATAGATGCAGATCATTTGTTTTAGTCTTGTCACTTCTTCTAGTTTTTCTGCTATTGTTCTGTCGGTTATTGACAACAATTATGCAGTTTATTAACATTCTATTTTGTATGAAGCTATATACTATAGAATCATTACATGTTTATTTTATTTTTTATTCTATCGTATAAGTTATATAGTTTTTTAATAAATTTATAAAGTTGGTTGATTTTGTGGAGTTTATATGGTGTCCTTCCAATTATCCATTTTCCAACCAATTTTCTTCTCCGCTTTCCTCCCTATTTTCTTTTCTGAATATTTTCCTAGTTCTAACTTACCCTATATGATTCCTTTATTGTATGGGAATATTAATAATAAGGCAACATTAGTCCTTTTCAGTTCTTCCAAACCTTAGTATTTTGGCTGCCAGGTTACTACAGATATTGGAAATTTTAAGCTGAGTAACTGGAGTTTCAAATTCTCAGCACCTGATAAACTTAAATAGAAAATATAAACAGGGAATGGTTTATACAAGTATGATTTAGAAGCTCTCCTTTAGAAAATAATAATAATTTCAGCAAATTCAAATCCATAATAAGCCATATTTGTCATCGAAAGTAAATACGGAACATCTTATTTTCTCTATAAATCCTCCCAGTGCATGAAAAACATGTAAATCATGCATAAGATTGACTGAGAAGAAAAGACAAACAAAGATATGATACTCAAGTACCTTGAAGGAGTTGGAAGTGATTAGCCAGAAACAAGCTTAACGACAATGCAGAGAATATTAAGGAGCATGAGTGGCACTCTCAAGTATTGGGTTGCATAGATAAGACCAAGAATCTGCCCCTTCAGTGAATTCCTCTTGATTCCAGAATACTCCTGGAAGCTCCACCCTCTACGGGCAAGAAAGCGGTCTTCATTCAATATTGCCAATGCATTGGCAAGAAGTAGACATCCCTCCAGCAATGTCCATAAACCCATTTCCTGCTTTCATTTCACAATCCATTTGTGGTTGTTATCACATTCATGTGAAAATACGTTGTTAATATACTTTGTACCATCATTTACAGTCTTCCTTGTGTTCTGTTTACACATTATTCTGTTCATATGTTGAACAATTCGTCTGTTCTTATATAGGCATGAAGATTTTCCAGGGATGAATTATTTGCATATAAACTTTTCTTTTAACATGCTTTCTGATTCATATCATCATCATCATCATTATCCTAGTGCCAAAAAGGCTCCCACCTACGGTGGGGTAAGGGGGTCGGATATTTGCAACCATACCCATGTACCTAAAGCACAAAGAAATTGTTTCCGGATGACCCATGGTAAAAAATGCATCAAAAATTACATTGACTGACCGTTGCTTCCTAACAAAGAGCGACAACACTTTAGTGAGCCATTTTGCTTTAATTCATGGTATTCCCAAGCCAAAAAAAGAGTAAACCTTTGGCTCCATTGCAAATATTACAACTTTTTCATTACTCTGATAATCTGATTCATACCATATATTATTACATTTTGTATACATATATTATCCATGTAATTAAGAATAAAAAAGTCATCTTTTACCAATGGTAATATGTTGTCTTACACATTATTAAAGATATTTTGAAACATAAGTATTAATTTTATACTGCTGCATAGAATGGTCTTCGAGTGTGTTTTCTTAATATTTCCATTCATTCTCTATATACTTCATCTTTTAAATGAAAGAACAGATAAAGAACGAACCTCAACAACAACCTCTAAGCTTGATCTATTCACTGCTGATAAGATATAAAAAGGTATGTAAGAACAAACAAAGCAAGATGCGATAGAATAAGAAGACAGTCAGTCAAAATCGACTAACCTCAGCATACGACCGGCGTGGTGTAGGCTGCGTCTGACCGGAAGAAGAGATGGAAACGGAGAGAGCAATACGATGGCTGAGAAATGTGCTGTAGAGAGATGGGAGATCGGATGAATTGGTACACCGGTAGTAAGGTTGCGTCGTTCCAGATCTTGGGCATATGATTTTCTAATTGCACCGGATCAAACACTTTGGGCCAATAACTTTAATTCATTTGCTTTGGCAGATTTCTAATTGGACCGCATCCGCTATTATATTATATTGAGTTATATGCTTGAAATCGGTTAACTGCGTTGAATCTATTGAGACTGTTGAATCTATTTAGATTGATAAAATTCAATTTGAATCTATTGATAACTATTAATATGCTGATTTATGGAAATACAATGTTTAAAATATTTATTAATGCTAAATAAAGAAAAAATCATATGTACAATGATCTTCATCAATTTCAGTCAATTCAATCACAAAAGTAACTCAAAATTGACTTATTTTGATTATGATATAATTAAATAATGCAGTGTGTAAATCAAAGTTATGTGTTTGACAACAAAAAAAACTTATAAGACTGATAAACTGAAAATACTAGTTATCAAACAAGCTCTTAAAATCCTTAAGCTGAAGCGTAAATGTTAAGATTAGTAATAAAATTTTAAAACTAATATATTTTAAATCTCATTAACTAATCTAAAATTTCATCGTATACAATTTACTTACATCAATAAGCATTGAAATATTTAAAGAAATCTTATAAAATTATTTTAGCTACAATTTGTTATTGTGTATGTACGATATTTTATTAATCTTAAATTTTAGTGTTCAGCTTATAAAATATTTGAAGATGGTAGAGTTGTAAGGAATCCTTTACAATTCTAATGAAATTCAAATTGAGCATACCCCATTAGTGCCTCATCCAAGAGGGACTACGTTTTAATAAGCTTTTTCATAAATGTTCACATAATTGTCATAATTAAAAGTGAGATATAGTTTTTTTATCGTCAAAAAGGATGGCTTAAATTACTATTATATCATTTAGATAGCGGTAAAACGACAAAAAGATCACAGGCAATCGCCAGTCATCGAACCAGATTTAGAGTCAATCACCTCCAAAAACGCAATATATCTCGCTGATCCTATAATGGAAATAAATGAGCCAACGACGGTTAAAGCAAACCTCTCATCATGCAATCCCAATGCAAGAGTTTTACAACAATAAAAGTAATCAACAGAAAGATAAACAGACTGATCAAGAAAAATAAATCACAAGCAAACTGTAAAATTAAAAAGCTGCTTCCAAAACCTAGACTTTCATGCACTCCATGGTGGCGGTTCAAATGTGATCAATGACTTATAACTTTTATTCTTTGTAAATTTAATAAAATACTGAATACATTATTAACAGTGACACAACTTATTAAATCGTTGTGTTGGTATAGTAGAAAAGAAAGAAAGAGTGTCAATATCAGTTCCCAGAGTAATAAAATCATCAAGACGCGTGAAATCCTTATAATCCATTAATCCATTATCAACTACTTTGCATATACTTCTAAGAACAATCAAAGTCTTATTTCAACCATGGTAAATTTCATTGGAACAAATTGGCCATTTTATGTGTACTACATAGATATTCAAAACATTAAACTACCCAATGAAACATGGCATTAACAAACTGCAGAAGGCCATATGACTTGCAGAGTATATTTATACACATACACATTATAATACAGAAAACCTTACTGAATCTTTGTTTAGTTCATTTATAATCTTTATGGGAAGAATTATTCCTGGTAAACGCTCTTCTGGACACCTGCTAGTAACATGACAACAGAATGAGCATTTAAGCTATACTTTTCTTGATTTTCTAGAAATCCCTTTCTAAAAACACTCTTAATGCACTCTTCCACCTTATTATTGGTTAAACAAGAAGCTGCTATCACTTGATCCATCACTTCACTCTCTACCTCCAGCAAATACTCTAGGCCTACTGCTTCAAACAATCACCCTTCAATCTCCTCAGTCATCTTCTTATAAGGTCAGTCGAAACTAAACGGCTCGAATGTCACTGTTTCATCAACCTGTTTAAGGAATCCTTCCATCCATTCTGTTGACTCTGCTATGATTGTTTCATCATCACCAGCTGGCAAATTCAAGTCTGGGAACTGGTAGGATGTCATGTTGGCACGCTTTACGCGTTTTCTTGGCACGGGTGAATGCAATGCGGGCCTTTCCACAAGATCAACTTCGACCTGTATTTGGACTGGCAATTCTCTTTCAGGTTCTTCAGAATAATTACCAGAAGCAGTAATAAATATTGTATTACTGATACTAACTTCTCTCCCATGTGAATCTGAAAATTTACCGGTCTTAACAGCCTGGGTCAAGCTCTTTTGAAGAAAAAAATCGGATTTTTCAATATTTTCAAGAAAAACAATAGACATAGGTTTCTCAGACAGTTTCTCTGCAATGTAATCAACAACAGATTTCCCTCTGATTTTCAAGTCATATTTGTTCAGATCAAGATGATCAAATAGTGACTTCGTTGCTGGCTCTGGGAAGCTGAGATCCACACAGATCAAGTTTTGTGTAGTCCCATATATGACTTCGGAAAGAGCAACTGCAAGCTTCTTCTTACCCAAGTTATCTGGTCCGGTTAAATGGAACCATATATCTCTTCTGCACTGAGCTATTCTCTGGCTAACAGTTTTTACAGCTTCTTTTTGCCGCCCGACCCTTTCGGTTAGAGCTCTGAAGAGAATCTTGAAATCTTTCCGGTCAAAATCAAAGCTTTTTGACTCATTGATGATTCTCTGGTTCCCTGATTCTCCTGATGTAATACGCAAACCTAAGTCCATTGTCACCGAGCTTATGGAGGATGGAGATGACGTGGTGCGGCCCGGCTCATCATCACTTTTTGAGGGTGTTTCGCTGAACATGGAAAGAAGGACGGCATCATTACAGTCTGAAAGAAAGCCAAGTGGACTGCTCTCTTTTGACAGGGGAATGCTGTATCTTCCCTTGTTAGTGACCTGGAATCCAGTGTTGGATGGATTTTGAGAAGACTGTTGAACAGGGTTCATTGTTGAAACGTGTTGGTTGTAGTGAAGGCGGTGACAGACAGAGTCCCATTTCCTATGCAAGCCGTCTATTTTCGCACTCATGAATAACATTTTATCATCTGTGGCCTGCACTGAAGATGTAGAAAGCAGTTTTTACATGATCATATTTGTTCTTATTTAGTGACAAAGATTGAAAAAATGATTCGAACACATCTCATATTCTATGAAAATGAGTAAATGACATCCAACGTAAAACTTTGTCACTGTATTTTTTTTGCAATAATTTGTAGTTTTCACTGATCATAGAACATGAAATGAATGACACTAAGTTGCATCTGCTATCTGTATGCTACCGACTGAAGGGGGAACAGGAAACGGAGAAGGGAAAACCGGGAACTGAAATAGAGGAAAACAGTTCCAGTTCTAGACTTTAGATACTGCGACTGACAGTTCCGATTCCATTTTTTTTAATTTCTAGCCATAAAAAGTAAAAAGAGTAAAAGGTTCTAAACCGGACTGGTCTATATCCAAGCCTACTACCGACCTAACATGGTTGAGATTAAGTTCTGATAACATTTTTCTAAAAGAAATCATCTTTTTGTCACATACTTATTATGTAATTCCAAGTTTTGTTCCCGCCTTTTTCATACTTTTCTCTTTTGGTGCATAACTATAATCTTTTGTTCCTTTTGGTCACTTATCCCCAGAAATCACCTGAAATTGTATGGAAATTGGCCAGAAAAAATGGTTGGATAAACCAAAGTAACAAAGAACTCTGTCGTGTGCTAAATGTGGGAATGACCTAGAACTGATAGTACCAAAGGTGGACGCTTTTGCGTATATATCTTGATGGTTGTTTGAAAATTTACCATTAGTAGTAGAACAAGATTGAAAAATTAATAATCATAATAATGATAGTAACATGAACATAGCCTTATAACCTTATAGGCATGAAATTCAGGCTATACAGACCTTGATGGAGTCTATCCTGTTGGTGCTTTGGAGCCAAGAAGGCAGACTAGAATGCTGATAGTGGCCTGCAACCGAAGAACCGAAACTTCCATCAGAAAGTGCACTAATTTCTTCTCTGCACTTTTCATTGCAGAGGAAACAGCGTGGCGAACTTGGGTATGAGCTACTTAATAATGGCCCTCTGATGAAATCGGAAGAAGTAGCAAACAGTCCTCCAAACGGAACAAAGGACTCCATCAAGCTGAAAGTTACCATATTATTATGAGCATTTAATTGTGAGTTCTTGTGTATAGATTATGACCACAAGTCAAAGGACATTGAAACCATAAAAGTGCTATATGTTCTTTTATAAGAAGTGATTTTAGAGTTTGCATATACTTGTACTTGTGAGAAGTGATTAAATTTAAAGATTATAGAGGAAGTTCTAAATGGTAAAAGCATTTAGTGGTTAAAAGTAAAGGTAATTTTGAAAATTTAGAAGATGGGGCTGTTGGATAAAATATTTTAGAAAAAGTGAAGGGCAAGTATTAACACCATTCCCCTACAAATTTTACCATAAAGCGCTTAAAGTTAAGAAGATGCCCCCAATTTAAAAACACTCCTTTAGTCCTTTTAGCCTTTTTAAAGCAAAAATTCCAAAAGTGGTTCTCAAAAGCTACTGCAAACGCTCCAGATATCTCATCTGAGCACTAAAAGTGATTCTCTACGAAGTCCTAGTCCTGTGCTTCCTTGATTAAGCACAAAAAGTGCTTTTATAGAAAAGATTACTTTTTTCATTTGGTCGCTAAACATTTCTTTTGATGTAAAGGTACTTTCTCCATATGATAATAATTATTCTTACCAAATACACTGAATTTGTCATCAAATCTCTCGCTCCAGCAAAGGAATCATCATGTTTGTAATACTTGTCGGGCATTGAAATAAGATTCTTTGTGGTGGGTAGTAAATAACAAGGTTTGTGACTTCTAGACTTCTAGTTCAACTCTTTAATAGGTTCCCCTTTAAGCACTAGTCTTAAAAGAATACACATTAGATGCATGTACATCAGAAATAAAATCTGCATTTCATTCCATTTTATTACGTCTTACCAAACTGCACCTAATAACATTTTAAAAACCATGACAATTTGGAGAAAACAACAAACTCTAACACAGTAAGTCAGAAACACAACAAAGCAATCACCTTCATAGTAAATTCCTAAGGCATCACTAATTAATTTCCATAACAGCACATCAAGGGTATTGAAGAAAGAATTTACCTGGATTTGGCATATGAAGCAAGTTCATTTCTTGTAAAAGGTTCTGGGCATGTGATTGTCAAGAGCTGCAAATCCCAATCCTTCTCTAATGATGGGAATTTATTCAACACTTTCAAGTAAACCTCATATCGTTCCACGGAACCGATCACCCACAATTTCTCAGCATGGATATTTATCAAATTACTCAGCTCCTGGACCACAAACTCCAAGGCATTATTGGAAGAAACTTCATCAACTGCTAACATTTTCAAATCACCATAATTGATTATAACACCTCCTAGCCCTCTACATTGTTCTTCCACAGCTCTTTTCACTTCCTTAATCTTAAGTCTCAGCATCTCTTCATCATAATCCCCAATAGCATACCTCGAAAGCTCGTTTTCCACACAGACTATCTTCAGCCCAGATAGCTTAGATGGTATTTGAAAACTTTGTGCAACTTCTCTTCTATGTACAATTCTTAAGAAGTTCTTGAGAGCATCATAGGAAGGAACCCCAACCAACAAAGGGTTCTTCTGTTTAGTCTTCATAAGAACCTCCCAGATTCTCTTGCAATTCTGTTCTCCATCTAAAATTACAGGATTGCCCAAGAAGGGGAAGGTGAAACCTTTCCTTCCCATATCAGAATCTGGGATTAAATTGCAGAGAACCAAGGGAGGACCTTCATATCTTGAATATCTAAAGAACTGATTAACAGGTCTCAAAAGAGCAATCTTTATATCATAGCTTATGAATCCCGCTTCTCCGAAGACTCTGCTCACCACCGGATCATCAAGAATCGATACTATCATGTTCTGAAGCTCCACCATGACCGCCGTAGAGCAAGACGGCTGCTGCGGGTTCTGGGTATGGTAGAAGTTGAAATTCTCCGGCTGCCTTCTCTGGTTCGCCTGAGACCGCTTGATGGCCGCCATGAGTGAGTTCGAAACCGGTGGCTCGCCGTCCGGATTCGGGTTTGGTGAAGACGACGGAAGCCGGTCCAGAGACAGGCCGAGGCAGAGCTCGAGTGCCTTGAACTGCGCTCGCGAAGAGTAAGCATTGTTGCGCGTCCGGGAACATGCTTCCCGGAGAGGAGAAGAAGGGAGTGAGAGGAGGGAGAAGATCATGTGAACCGACGTCGTCTGGGTGTGGCCCCGCCGTCTCGCCACCGCAACCGCGTCGTCTAGAGCTTTCGCCGCTTCCGGCGTCAAGCATTGCCGGGCAGTTGTCGCAGGTGTCGGCATCGCCGGTCAGTAGTACTGCTTAGTTTGTTTGTGTTACAGAGTATTGGTAACAGATACAAAAGAAAAGGTTACAGAGTAACGATCATGGCGTCGTATGAGAATCAGAGTCAGGTGTTAATAATCAGATAACACTTATAATAATCAGATAATAATAATAATAATAATAATAATAATAAGAGCAACAATTCTAATATGGTGCGAGAAGAAGAAGGCTGGTGTGTGGGTGGGTAGATATCAAGGACTGGAAAGGGATGGGGAAATGATATTATATACGAAGTACAACGTACTTCATTTATATTGAACACAGCTTAGAGCATCTCCAATGCTCTAATGTGCACGATTCACATGTGGCATGAGTCATAGCCACATAAATATTAGCAAATAAATTATCTCTCTCCTTATTTAAATGATTTTATACAAGTTTGGTAAGTTTTTTCCTGCAATGTCAACAACAATGTCAACATTTAGACGGTCTCCTTGACATTGTGAAGAAAAACTTACCAAAACTATATAAAATCATTTAATTAAGGAGAGAAAGAATTTATGTACTAATATTTATGTGGTCATCTCTCATGCCACATGTGCACCGTGCACGTTATAGCATTGGAGATGCTCTTAGGTGGGCATATTGATTTGGTTCAACCTGATCAAATTATACCAGATCGAAATTGAATCACATGTAATTTGGTTTGGTTTGTATTTGAATAATAATAAATTCAAACCGAACCAAAATGAATTAAACATGGCATCATTTCCTAAACGTGAAATTAATTATTTTTATTTAGCTATAAAAACATAACAGGTCCGTTCTGAAATTTGCAAACATTTTTACTCATGTTTTGAGAATTTCATTTTAGTTGATCGTCAAAGTACTTTTTATACTCCGTATGTGTTGTATACTTCAAATATGAAGCAAACAAGGACAAAAGACAGGGCACTGGACTGTAGTAGACCGGTTTAAGGAATATTTTTGAAAGAAATTCACACAGATTTTTCACCTTAAAAATCAAGATTTTTTTTGAATTTGGGTGGACCAGGGCATACTTTGGCCCCCTCTAGATCCGCCTATGGAAGCAAGCCTAATTTTTTAAACACTCTTCAAATTTTAGTGTCATAATCATTTTTTGAGCAATCATTTCTAATCTATTACCGTATTTGTTCTGTTAATGTCAATATTCTTGAATTGGGATGAGATTCGAACATGTGAGCTCCTCTTTGTAATTGTTACAGCGATGTCATCAGACCACAAAATACTTTGCAGTGTCATAATCACTTAAGTATAAAGATTGGGCATAAAACTAGTCATTGAAAGTTACAACTTACAACCATAATCATCACACTTAAGGTTACCTATTTTAAAGGTCACTTTTGTAAGTATCCTTTATTTAGTCATAAACATGTTACTGCGTAATATTTACTCACTATTTAAATAATACGGAGTATGTAATTTATGTAATATTTTTATCATCAACAATGCTTGATGTACCCACTCTTATACTCATCTTATACTCACTATATTTGTGAGTGTAATAATGATAGTGTGGAATGATGCTTAAGGTTTAACCATACGTTAATTAGATAAGATTGTGATAATTATCACAGGCTTCTACGGTTGTAAATAAACAAGATTTCAATAAAGAAAGTTAAAGTAGGAAGGAGCGGACTCAACGGAGGAGATGGATTGTACGGGTCTTTATGATGTTTTGGGGTAGGGGTGGAGATGCTTGAGTCCACTTTGAATGACAGCCCCAATCGTAGGGTCACTCGGGTCATTCTATTCTCCATGCTTTCTTTGGTGTCCACCAAACTCAATTTTACAGTACATTATTTTACTCCCTCCGTTCCATTACAATGGGACAAAAGAGTGTGGTACATAAATCTATAAAAAGTGGTTTATGTGATTGATATTGAATTGATAAAGTAAAAATAATTTAGAATCACACAAACTTTACCAAATAAAGCATGAGACAATCTTAGTGGGACGGATCAAAATGATAAAATGGGACAATCTTGGTGGGACGGAGGTAGTAACAAAATTTTGGTTTGTATCTATTTTTATGGGTTGAAATGCATAAATGATACCTTAACTACACATATATGTGTTCAAAAATCATTCATGGCGATCAAAATTTCATGTGTCCAGTCACCCTATAGTTATCATATGACCAAATATAAAGTGAAAGTAAACTCTACGCGTAGAATTCTCGCCATTTTGATTTTATAGTAATTTTTTTACCTCATGATGCTGGCATGAGACATGAATTCCTACTTTGAGGAATGAACTTAAGAGCTCCTATTAATTAAGGGCAATTTCAATTCTTAAACAATATTGAGCTAACATAGCCAGCTCAGTTGGTTGCCGATTTAGAGCATCTCCAATGCTAAAATGTGAATAGTGCATACGTGGCATGAGAGATAGCCAATTAAAAAATAATAAAAAGAATATCTCTCTCCTTATTTGAAGGATCTTGTATCATTTTGGTAAGTTTTTCTTCACAATGTCAAGCACAATGTCTAGATGTAGACATTGTGTTTGACATTGCAGGGGGAACTTACCAAAAACACATAAAACCGTGGAAAGAATGTGAGAGAAATGTCATAGATTCAATTTTTTGTGTCTATCTCTCTCATGCCACATATGCACCGTGCACATTGTAGCATTGGAGATGCTCTTAGTCTTCCATATGGAAAATTGACGAAGGACGATGCAGCTCAATCTAATCTAGATTTCCGGATTCGCCTCTGGATACTAAGAGCATCTATTTAATGTGGATTGCACCCCACAAAAAATGGACACGTAATCGCTATAGACGGCCCGTGAAGCTGATATGGACGGACATCCAATTTCAATCCGATTGCATCTCCAATGGAATCAATCGTTTTTCTATTCTTTAAATAATACGGAGTACGTAACAACATTTAAATTAATTACTCTCCAAGTCTGCATATATATCCAAAACATATACGTAGTACTTCGTACGTAGTAAACAACATATATACATAGTCTCCCTAGCTAACCAATTCACGTAATTTTTTTTGAATGTAATATATAAATATATTTGTATTCGTTCAGATATAAGAAGTATGACCCAAATGCACAAAAACTACAATGCTTTTGAAACTCCTCAGCACAGAAGCATAAATAAAACTTTCGTTGTTTTTTGTGAGCATACACCAAATCCATGGCGGATTGGCGGTCACTGTCTTCCTCCTAGCATAGTAGCATGCTGTATATGTAACCACATCATCAATGACATTTTCGAGGGGAAGATCTTCATCAGCACACCTCCTAGGTCTCTTGGACCTCCGTTTTTGAGCGCCGGAAAATAAAATGAGCCCGAGAAGGAGATCGTCGGAGCAAAAAGGGGCTGCCGGCCGCTGCTACCGCGTAGACGACGAGCCACACCGTATCACAAAACGCTGATATTCGTCTATATGGTGGTCACTTTCTTCCTCTATTTCAACAGTCTCTTCATAAATGAACCACCATTTTTCCAGGTGTCGGAAAATAAAACGAGCCGGAGAAGGTCGCCGGAGTAAAAGGGGGTGCCCAGTTGCCCACCGCCGCCGCTTAGGCGAGGAGTGCCGCTGTATCACAAGGACGGGGCTGCTATAGGATGTGGGATTGTTGTCCTTGTTTGGTTACTACTGAGTACTGAAATCGGGTGTTGCTTTGCCGGAAAGGAAAAATTGAAGGAGCTCTTTACTTTTGTAGCTAGGTGTGCCGAAGAACTCCACATTTGTATAAATATGTCCGGCAAAAAATTAATTAAAATACTCCGTAAATAGTTGAATAAATGATTTGATGACATGGCTGTTTGCTGGCCTTGCTGAAAGTAGAAGCCCGGGTAGACAGCCGCTCCTATTTTTCATTCCAGCTCAGCAACACAAGATGAATGCATGTTTCCGTTGGAGTGAGTAAGTTTAGCTCAAGGTCTCTATAGCTCACGTGGCAATTCATTTTTAAAGGATCCACAGCCCCACTACAGATGCTCTAATACCACATACTATCGTATTACCCTAGAGAATAGAATGACAGCTTATTCGTCAACTTTAATTTCATCATTTGTTTTGTTAAGTTATGAAAGGCTTGAAGTCTTATATGGCGGTCATGTTGTTGCACTTAAATATCAAGCTTTCCAATCATTTTAATACTCATCGTATTCACACAATTTTATGTCAATTTCTACGTTACAAGTTAAAGTTACACTGATTACCCTTGGAATTATTTTCACTTTTGGTCCTATGACTTTTATGTCATTTCTATATTTAGTCCACGTCTTTCAGTTTGTCCACTTTTGGTACTTGACTTATGTTTCTTGACCATTTTTTGTCCTTCTCCGGTGATTTTAACCACCGGAATTGTTGTCGGAAGGACCATGTATGGTCGAAAACACAATACTCATGTACCAAAAGTGGTCAATGTCAAATTCATAGGACCAAAACTGGAATTAATTTTTTACCCTTAAATAGGACCAAATTATGATCAAAATTCATAAATGGGAGTTAATGTTTTAATTTACCTAAATAGGACTCATTATTCCAGATCTACCCCTGCAATCATAAAACCCCCAGATCTATCCATCTTCCCGATCTTTTCTTTATCGGCAATCTTCTTTTCCCCCGCATCGGCAAACTCCGATCCTCTCCCATGGAGTACGGAGACACAATCTCTTCTGCGCACCACCCCGGTCAGCATCTCTACAGGTAATCCCCTCCTCCTTTTTCTCTTTCTCTTCCTACTTCTCCTTCTCCTATATTCCTTCTCCTTTCTCCTCCTCCTCTATTCTTTACTCAATTTGCATTATTAATATTTTCTGTTAACTTTTTCAAATATATTTTCGATTCTCAATGGAAATTTTATTTTTGGTTTGAAACTTTTGAATTCAAAACATTTATGTATAAAATTTCGAGGCTCTTGTTCAAAAAAATCAGATCTAAATTTTAGAATTGTGCATCTCTATCAGCTTGTAAGAAATGCCACATTTATGGCATTTTTCTGAGGAGATGGAAATGTTGCATCTTTGAAAATGCCAAAATTTTGGAATTTTCACAAATTGTGGTATTTTTGTCAAATTTTTGGCATTTTTCGCATGTAGAAATGCCGTTTTTTTGTCATTATTGTTATCATAATGACAGTTTTGCCAGAAATTGATACTATACACTCCTTAGGAGGTAGCTGTGACTAAGAAGATGCCAACATCTTTAGAGAAGAATTTAGACGTGGCTCCATTCTCGCGGTCGCATCACCG